TGACGTCACTCGATTATACGGCGGTTGTACACGTGCTTAGATTGCGGTCTGGGGCGTGACATGTGGGTTCCTGTTGCAGGTCTGATTCCTAATTAGGCCCAGCGGCTAATTGATATTCATCCTGTTGATGGGCTGATCCCGTTAAGGGCTAATCCCGTTATAGGCTTGATCCCGTTATGGGCTTGGTCTGTATTTCCATAATTGGACCATGGTCGGAATCCATGGTACCATCACGAGCCCCCTACTCTCTAAAATCAGTCGAGTTGGATTTTAGGAGAGTAACTGGAGCAGTTACTTAGTTTCAAATTTCGAATTCCTTTTTTGCAGCGCCGTTTCTCATTTTTTGCAGCGTCGTCCCGCCTTCAGCACTCGAGTGCCTTGGGAGCGGTTTTGGAGCGGTTCACGATATCGAGGATCCCACTATAAAGGTACTCCTTCTCTGTCATTTAAACTTTCTGATACTTTGTATTTTCCAAACCCTGGGCAAGAAAGCTTCTCTCTTCGCTTCGCTCCCTTTTCCAGGTCAGTTAATCAATGTCTTCTTCTAGTTCCATTCCCTTTCTTAACGTCTTCCTCGATGACGGGGCCAATTCCCACCGGCCTAGAATTCGGTGGACTCAGAGGGAAGATAAACTCACTTTTATCTTTCCGCCGATTTTGCCCGCGCGATTCTGGCCGTCGCCATCTCTGACGCCGAATTTAACATGGTCGCGGCCCTGGTTGGGCCCAACGTTATCTGCACTTGACCCACTCCTGATCAAAATATTGTTGATTCCCCTTCCTCTCTTCACTTTGGGATCCACCTATCCAGCTTTGAAATGGGCTTGCGATTTCCTCTTCACCCTGCTCTTTTGAATATCATGGTCCATTATGGGGTCATCCCCGGTCAACTCACTCCCACAACGCATATGTTCATTGCCGGGTTTATAGCTCGGTGTCTCTTTCTCGAAATCAGGCCAACCCTATATTTGTTCCTGACATTCTTTCACTCGGTCCGATCCGGCGCCTCTGAAGCCCAGGGATTCTTCTCAATTTTCTAGAGGGCAGGCCACCGTTTGTTCGAAGCCAAGTCCTACCCGGATTCTTTTAAGAATTGGAGGCACAAATGGGTATGGGTGACCCCGACGGATGGTAAGCTGCAGATCAAGAACAAGTGGGGAGAGATGATCCGGCGGTGGGTCATACCCATCCTAAATGAGGGGTTTGAGTATGCTGCGAAACTCATCGGTGAGGGTTCGCCCTTCTCGATGGGGCACTATGTAGGTGACGATGGAGTGATTATGCTTAATTCTCCTCAGGTCGGCAATGCCTGATTTCACGCTTGCTTTATCCCTCTTATCCCCTTGTCAATAATTGCGCTCTGACCTGTGTGTTCTTTTTCTCAATGCAGAGGGTGAGAAGATGACTTCCGGGCTCAAGCGGCTGGCTGCAAAGGCTGGTTCAACCCTAGGTGCCATGGTTTCCTCGAGGAGGGTCCAGACTCGGGGTGCTACAGAGGTCACACCTGGAAGGTCTGGTGGGGGTTCTCGAGGAGATGGCGTTGTGACTCTTGTAACACCGACTGCAGACCCCCGGCCTCCTCTGACGAGGGGGCCGGGAAGAGGCTGGCATCCCAGCCCATCTACTTGCCCAGAGGGAAGAAGTCCCGAGCTGTCAAGAATTGCACAAGAACTGTTGAAGAAGTGTTGTCCGACTCCGAGAGCCAATCTCTTGAAGGTGGCAGTCAGGGGGATGCCCTGGTACCTATGGACAGGATCTGTATGTCAATGTGTTCAGATTCTGCCTCCTTGTTCCGTCAAACAATCAATCCAATGTCCATGGCCCTGGCCATTACCCCTCCAGCCGATACCGAGGAGATTGGCAATATCTCCCCTCGGTCGGCTCTCCGGCATGTTGTTCACTCCATATATGAGGTAATGCCCTTCCCCGTCTTCACCGTTAATTCTAGGCTTTATCGGAGCTACTCCTTACCCCCATGGACTTCTTTTTTAAGCTTTCGTCCTCGCTGCTTCCAGCTCTCATCGTTTAGATGGGGAACAAGAGGAGACCCAGGTCTAGGCCGACCACCATAAGAAGGTGGTGACGACCCAACTTTCGTCCTCTGCACCTGATTTCATCATTGTACCCCATCATCACCATGTAGGCCATGTACCTAGAGATACGGTGTTAGGGGCTGGTCTTTCCCTGGCACGCCTTAATATTGCAAGACTTGTACCCCGTGATAGTGGGGCATCCATGATCTGATGGATGAATGGCTCAGGAATCCTCACATCATTGAGGTCGATCTTGCCATCCACCGCCCTCCTGATCTCGTCAAGTCGCCTTCTGAGGTCGTCATTATCCTGGCCAGTCTGGACACAAGGTGGGGAGGCGCGATCTCTGCGGGCTCGTCGATGTTCGTTGATCTCGTCTCTGAGATCTCCGCCACGCGCACTGCGATGGTGGAAAGAAACGGCTGCAGACTATGCTTCATCACTTCGCTCCACCCTGGAGGAGAGCCTGTCATGCACAAACACTCTCCGTCCTCCAATCTGGTCCATCACCGAAGCCATCGGGGTCTGTCTGGAATGATGAGACCGCTGAGACCTTGTCGGAGGTGAATTCCTCTGACGTTGCGCAGACACTTCCTCCTCCCGTTGGGGCACAAATGGAACCTGGCGTGGGGAAGGAGGTCTTTCGTTGGTGTTGAGAACAATTTCTTAGTGATCAAGGCCTCCACAACCCTCTGGAATATTGCCAAACTCGCCAAAGCTTGCACCGGATCCACGTTCGGGATGAGATTCCCGGTGGCTGGCGTTTGGAAATGTGGCGGGCGTGTCGCAGGACGCCTGGAACTCCCCGCACCTTGTAGGTGGTTCCTCAAGTCACCTTGAGTCGCCATGTTGTCATTTCTTCTCCAGAAATCACTCCGTCGCGAACGACACCCTTCGTCTTCAATCACGACCTGCTCCATTCGAGCACAACCTTAATTGTTGCCAACACAGTTGTGATTGTGTGATCCAACCATCATCGTCGTAAATCGAGCTCTCAACGAGAGCACCAAATGATGGAGTTTAATCTAACTACAAGAGCTAATCTACGAGAGCATATGAAATTTAGACAGTGCAAGGCAGTATTATTATCCCGGAGTTCGAATCCTTGGTAGGGGAGAGCAAACCCGACCCTACCCGATTGACCCAATCGGATATATCCGATTTTTTTGTTGGGGTTGAAAAACCCGACCCGAAATACCCAAACCCGGTCCGATTCTTGCAACCCGAGACTTAACCGGGTAGCGGTTAGGGTTACCAATTATGCTACCTGACCCGTCCGAAAAACCGAACTAGCGTAGTATATATACTACTTTGAATTATTATGCATGTTCAAATATCTCAATTATTGTATGTCAATTACCATATTATGCATGTTCAAATATTCCAATTACCGTATTTGTACAACTATAACTTTGAATGTTGTATTGTTATGACTTTGAATGATATTTTGACCAATTATCATTTTATTTATCACAATATCAAATATGTCAATCAACATATATTATTATTTCACATGTTCAAATATGTCGATTATCGTATTTATACAACTATTACTTTGAATGTTATACTAGTATAACTTTGAATGATATTTTTACCAATTACCATTTTATTTATCACAATTTCAACAATAATAAATTAAAATTCGAATGGATCCGAAAACCGTATCAACCCGACCGCAACCAGGATTTCTTCAACCCGAAAAACTCGATAAATTTTTTGATAGGGTATGATTTGAAATTATCAATCCGGTACCCGAACGGGTTTACAATTTTTGAACCCGACCCGCCTGAACCCGACCCGTGCTCTGCCCTAATCCTTGGTAGGATGTGTACATGAAGTATTTATAAACCTTAGGTTGTACTCTCTCCGTCCCAATTTTTTTTGCAAAGTCAATATTTTTTTGTCAACCAATAAGAAAGTCAATCCTCCCTATTGACAATTAATTCAATTATTAATAATTAAAATTTATATATCCATAAACTACATTAAAATATCTTCAAACTTGTGAAATTCAAATTATAATATAATTAAAAATTGACATCCTAATTACGCGAATAAAAAAACTGTTTGACCAAGAAAAGTCAAATTTGCAAATCAATTTGGGACGGGGGTGGTAGTATTCTTGGAGGAAACTGATACATTTAATGCAATTAATTATAATAGAGTCATGTTACGTCTCGAACGTTGTGCAATCATTGTTTCCTTCAGGTCCACATTCCTTCCGTTATTTCCTGCCGCTACCAGATAGCTATACACGAATGATAGTCTGCCACATAAGCACTAGAAAGAGTCCGACCTTGCTAAAACTCCGTTCAGGCTCAAGGTCTGTTGTCCAACCCAGCCTGGTCATGGGTTCCTTTCGCGGGTTGGATTCCTAATTAGACCCCAACGGCTGTTATTTATCATTAATCCCAATTAATGGGTCGATCCCATTGATGGGCTTTGCTTTAACTCAATCTTGGGCCATGGTTGTGACCCATGGTACCATCAACTATTAATCATTTTTATTTTTAATGTTTAATTTTATAATTTATTTTGTGTATCATTTTTTGTTTAATTAGGTTAGTATTTTAATTTACAAATTTCTCATGATTCTACAAAGTATTGGATTCCTGAACGTGAACCCGATTGTTGGCATGGTTTTCCTTGATCTAGATGTTGCATGCCATTAAATTCTACAAAGAGTATGCAATTGAAGTGGGTTTTACGTCACCATACATTAATGAATGCCAATTCAAGGATGGTCATGTTATGTTGAAGTATATGATATGCAGTGGATCAGATATAAGAATAATATTGAACTGCTTTCGTTGATACTGGTGTTTTCTACATCTGAAGTTAGTAAGCAAAACAAGAAACGTGTGTCAAATAAGATTGAGTGTAAAGTTCTTTTAACTCTGAAATATGTTGGTATTAATGGCTACTCGGTCTTTGCATTTGCGGCGCGTCACTATCATTTTATGTGTTCTGAAATAGGCAAACAATTGCTAAAGGTGAATAGGAATTTAGAACTCGGTCATCAAAAGTTTGTTTCAAATTGTTTTAGAACAAATATTGGTACAATGAAACCAGAAACCATATAGGTAGTATAAGGAGACCGTAGAGTCTGTAGGGGATGTTCTAACATTGGTGCTACCAATGTGGATTTGAAGAGCTTTAAGCGTGATCCTAAGGCCTATATAGCTGGTAGATAAATCACACCAGACTTGTATATTTTAGAGCCATCCATGCCGTTATCACCCAACTAGCTAGAGAGCGCTTCATTGCATACAAGAATGGGTTGTTTGCGAAGTCATTATTGTTGTCTTAAAGTCAATTGCAATGTTCTATTGCTAGTAAGGCTGATACATTATCATCCTTGAGTCTTTATTAACATACCTTGCTAAGGTTAATGACCTCCTCAAGCAACCGGTTGACGGGTTCCTTAATTTCTTCAGGAACATACAATTCTTGAGGCACTGATTCCAAGGCATAGAGAAGGATGATCCTCATTACATGGTGAAGGTGAATCACTTTGGCATTACCATTGTTCCACATATTCTGATTCTCAAACTTGCATGAATCTCTTAAACCACATTTTCCGCACACCTGCACATTCCAGCACACTAAATTTAAAACACAATTGAACAAGGAAGGTGGAGACGCTTTGGCTTTTTTGTTTGGAACACGGAATAATTGTAGGGAAGGAATGAAAAAACCAAGAAAAAGAGTTTGGGTTCACTTACAAAATATGAAGGAAATTTTATTTTATTTTTAAAAATTAAGATTTTGCAATCCAAAGTAAATAGAATATATATATGTATAGAGAGACAGGGTTTGAGCAAAAATCTAAAATTGAATTGTAGACTTTGAACCAATTTTATTCTTATCGTCCAAATCTTTCACTCATCACTCCTTCCAATCTTTTACTATGTTTCTGCTCTATGTTCTTGCATGAACATTTTCTAGTTCCAAGCGGACCCTTGAGATCATATCTCTTCACTATATTCTACTCCCTCCGTCCCAATTTACTTAGCCAAACTTGACTTTTCAAGTCAACGGCGTCTAACTTTGACCGATTATATGTTTATATAGATAAAGTATTGATAATATGAAAATGATATGAAAATGTTCTTTGTTAAAAACACTATCATAAAAGTATAAAATTATTAAATTTTGCATAAATATGTTAGCTTAAATAATTGGTCAAAGTTAGAGACCGTTGACTTGAAAAGTCAAGTTTGACTAAATAAATTGGGACAGAGGTAGTATTTGCTTATTAGTTATACTTATTTGAAATTAATGAGACCTAATCAAACCGAAAACATTCAGACCCGACCACGCCAGAAAAATTTAAAGACCGTTTGGTGACCCAGGTTTTCGGCTTATCAAACTTATCAACCAACTTTTTCACCAAACACGTACTACATCCATCCCATTTTATGTGTCCTACATTGGTTTGGCACAACTATTAATATAATTGTTGAAAAAGTAAAAATTGTGGTTGAAATTTGAGTATAATAATGTGAAAAGTTGTAGACACTTATTTTGGGACAACCCATTAAGGAAAGTAGGACAGATGAAATGGGACGGAGTGAGTAATTTTTTATTTCACGCGTAGAATTGTGTAAACTAAGAAAAAGTAAGATTTGAGTTACTTTTCTGATTGTATTGGCTAAATTAATGTAAAAACCCATATTAGCTGTTTTTTCATATAATTTTTTCTATATTTTATTAATAAAAAAATATTTTAAATATTGTTTTTCATAACTCAACAAAATCAGCCAATTCAACCACTTCATCCGGAACTTCATAAATTTCAGTAGAATAAGCGGATTCAGTCAATTTCAATGTTACCAAACTGGCTCTCAAATTCAACCAGGTTATATAAGACAAGAAATATAGACAAGATAAAAAAACATACAAACCTGATCTTAAATATTCAAAGCATATCCTATTTTTAGCCGAAACAAACAGGTCCTAAATCATACTCCCTCCGTCCCTAAATGTTCTTCCGTAGTACAAATGGCACACGAATTAAGAAAGTGGGAATTGTGTGGTGGAAAGTTGTGCAGAGGTAAGAGAAATGTGTAAGAAACTAAGAATGTGTAAGAATTGTTGTGAACCACAAATTCTTTGCCAAGGGACGGAGGGAGTATCATATTTATAACAAAGAGGATCAAATAAATAAGAGTTTATACTACTACGAAATTATGACTAAATTTAGTTTAACGGATAAAATACCCTTCTATTGTGAACATAATGACTTCGTTTGTTTTTCAGCGGGTCCTTAGCAAACCGCTGCATTTTGCGTTTTGCTGTTAAAAACTTAAAATTAATCAGTGATTTGCTCCATCCACTATTATCCAAATGAGGGCAATATATGTGAACATAATACGGACTAGGGAGTGTATAGTCAAGAAAAGTTGAATCAAGTAAAAACTTCAGAAGCAAATACAGTAACAATGTATAGTTGAGGAACTACATGGAGCATTAACTCGAAATAAAAAACAATTGATCTGAAAGAAAGACATCAATGCCAGTTTGTGCAAGGCTTTCAGGATATGTATTGCACTTGATTTTCATTGAATATTTATTTGTATGCAGTTCTTCCCAAGAAAGAAAAGGTTTATAGAGTTCTTATCATACCAAAATTGCAAAATTGCACTTTGATGAAACATGGCCTTTTTGTATGGAATGGAGGGAGTATAAGAGATCTTAATCGAAGAAAAGAAAACAATTTTAAAGCAAGTAGACTCACTGTGTCTTCCTGTATCTTGAAGAACCTACGCAACACTTTAGCTGAATACACATTCTTCTTCACAACAGAAGGGCAACCAAAGAGAGCTACCTTTTTCAAGTCACTAGCAGACAACCATCTGAGCAAACATTAGGAGTTACCAAATGTGAAACCGTCCAGCAATGCAACATATATAAACTGCTGAGTAATAAAGAGTATGTTTACATGATAATGGAAAGGGAAATAAGCATATATGACATGGAATTATGATTCATTGATTCTTGATATACTTGAGACTGAAACCTAACGGAGCCTTTTGTTTTGCAAAAATGTTCCATGATGTGTGAATGTTGGATTGCTGAAATCTGTTTAACATGGGTTTGAAACTGCGTGAATATATAGAACTTCTTGAGAAGTAATATATTAACTTGTTCAGTTAGAGGTTATCATATACAACATGACGGGTATTTTACTTTAATGCCCCATCCATTAACTACTAATAATAATATAATTCCTGCTTTTTATTACGAGTAATTAATATGAGTAATATTTTTATTTTAAGATAAACAAAAAACTAAACAAATAAAGATATAACTATTGTACAGTCGATAATCTTGCATAAACTAAGAATTTGAGCTGTATTATACATCCCATGCTGGGGGTAAGATTCCGAAACTATCTAAAATAAAGTGCCACAGACATGGTGCTGGTTTCTCACGCCGAGTCAACCAAACACACCCTAACCGTAAGAAGGATCAATTATGTGGCCCTGATGCTGGGTGAAATACAAGTAAACCCATTTTTCTAAATGTATTCAATGCCAAAATGAGAGCATAAAAAACTAGAAAGGGGAAATATAAAGGGAAAGAGAAAGGAGAGTATTGCATTTCTTGGTTAGTCACCCCCATTAAAAAGTTCTTGTTTGGTATTCAAATACTTTATGCTTACTTTCGTGGTACAAATCCGGAAAATCACATTTAAATCCCACTTCTGGATTAACTCTTCCAATACACCACCCATCATTGTAAAAACTAAAGTCCCTTCTAGGTTTATTTACCATCATTGGACCCAACTAATTCTTACTATAAACTAAGATCCAGTCCTGTCTTCTTAACAGACGGATAGCAATTTTTACCACATTAACCCCCACCATTCAACACTAACAAGATGTATAGATGCAAATACTGAGACAAGTCTATAAGAAACGCATCCAGCGAATATACCACTCAGCATACACTGCTCATTAAGTAATGTAATGCAAGAAGATTCGGTTCTCACTTGACAACTTCCTGTTTATCAGTTGCAAACTCCCTAACCGCGTGCTTGATGTAGTGCAAAGCATAGCTATCATCAAAGCGAGTAATATCAAACTTATTCTTAGGCAAAAAGTTTGCATCTTTGAAGTACCCCTCCTCATACAGGTGAGTGACAAGCATAACCATTTCAGATGATAGTCTCTTCCCAACCATAAGATCTTTTTCCATTGGAGCATTTGAACTGTTAAATGAATTGTTTGTAAATAATTTGTGTAAACTACCTGCGATAGACTGGTTTTTTGTAGCTTCATCATCCTTCTTCGACATTGCCTGTATTTTCCTTTCTCGTCTCTCAATCTTTTCGTCTATTTTCTTTTTACTTTTCTCTTGCAGAACTCTGACTTCTTCTTCCAGATTTCTCAATTTACACCTCACCTGATCTGTTTCCAATCCATCTCCATCATGTGGAAGAGCTTCTAGAATCCCAACCGCTTCTTTGAAGAAACAATCTAGGGGTTTCTTATTCCGTTTGTTCGGCCTAACATCAATGTTGTCTGAATCCGTATCAGTTTTGGTGCAGAAAGGATACGAAAATGGAACAGATCTCTGGTGAATTACAAGGAGACGTGAGAATCGGCCAATAGTTGAAAAACAAGAATGTGATTGGGTAATAGGGTTTTGGAGTGCGTGAACCGCGGGGAACAAACTCTGAAAACAAAAGATTCTTAAAAACACCATTTTCTTGGGTTGAAGAGATGTTCGAGATTACGCAGTAAGTTGAACGAGTGGTCATACGGTAATCTTGACACCTCATGAGTTCCTTGAAGCCATGGAAGTTCGCAAGAAGAGCTAGTAAGAAAAGTTTCAGGTGTTTCAGCAGTCTTCGTCAATGGGTCTTGAGTCTTATAAATGGAAGGAAAATGAGGTTAGCACTCGGTTTTCAGGTTGTGCAAAATTTACGGACAAAATAACATTATGAGGTTTTGGAATCTCATTTGATACTAGTTATATGACGCGCGATGCGAGGGGAATGATCAATATATTTAAGTTATTTGAAGGTTAGTTTCATGCATGTTCTTTTACATGTCGGATAATTAAAGGGGACGTGCTGCATCTCTTTTCTCATAAGTTGTACAAGGATCAATACGAAACTTCCTATAGGAATATAATATCTATATTGTGGTTATAAACAATCTAAAAAGGGTAGACATAATGATTAGGTTTATAGGGTCTAGTTAGAACATGTACGTCATTTTGTTGCATGTTTGAATCCAATAGCACTAATCATGTAGTAATAAGAGGCAAGTTCAATAACGAATGTGAGTTATACATATTGTCATGGGTAAAATTAATAATATCTCTAGTTCAATAGGTTAGTATTCCTCTCTGATAAGCATATGAAATAAAATATTGCAATGACCGGATAGATATTACTTGGGGTCGAGTAGTTGGGGGTGATGAGGGTGATGATCAACATTTCCTGTTCATAGTAATCTCATATCATGTATGAACTTTTTTATGCGATGTGTATATTTCTAATCTGATATGGTCTGAATCTTTCTGATCTCGTATCAATTGTTTGAACTAATATGAATAAAAATAAAGATAAGCAGTAAAAATAAGATGAATAGAAATATTCCTAGCATGGAGATGCAGCCGAACCTCTACGGCCACAAGAGACTAAAAACAAAGGTGTAGGCGTGTAGCTTTGAAGCAATCATTTTCACAATCCGATCCATGCGGAAATCTTGTTGGGTATCTGTGGTTTGATTTCGAAGGGAGACTATAAATATCAACATGATCCAATCAAAGTATTTGATAGTGGGGAGGGTTGTTATGTTGAAGTCTCACACATAGTAAATTATAAAGTAACTGGTTACTTCACCTGTGCGTTGCAGGGAGTGAAGTATATTACTTCCTCCGTTCCTATTTTATCTTCCAAATAGGTTTGGCACACAATTTAAGATAATGAGTATTGTGTGGTGGAGAGTTGTGCAGAGCAAAGAGAAATGTGTAAAAAATGTTGTGAACCACAAATTCTTTACTAAAAAGGGAAAGTGGAAGTTTTAATTGGAACGAACGAAAAAGGAAAGTTGGAAGTTTTAATAGGAACGGAAGGAGTATAATATTTTCAATGCAATTATATGAAAAAAACTTTATAGTAATCCAATGAATTCAAAACATTAAATAGATTACAAAGTAAGACGTCATTATAATAGCAAACTAAGAAATAAATGGTAGAAATTAAATGGATATATCACACGATGAAAAAGATGTACATGCAAGTCTATGAAACTATCAAGGTAAACTATAAATTATTAAAAAAATCTTTGCATGCAACATTGTGCTCGATGGACTTGTTACTCACGATAGCATCGCCACATACAACTATTGATGCGTAAAAAGGGTCAGAGCTACGAAGAAAGATGATAACATTTTCCAACGACTGATCCTCAATTTTTTATTAACGATTTTTGCATAACTAACCATTAATGAAATCATTGCATATTCACTAATAGATGTTTAAAGTTCATTTTAAAGTTTGCTAATAGAAGTTTGGGTCCAAATTACCTGATAGAAGCCTCAACTTGAGATGCTTCCGTGTAGAATTTTTGATGAGATTTTTTGAGCATATTTTTCATGAAGAGTAGATTATTTTCATCAAATTTTAGCTTGAAATTCAATCGGGAAGTCAATTAAATAAATTATTGCAAAACATTGCACTGTTTTATGTATATATATTGGCGCAATGTTTTTTAGTAATTTATTTAATTGACTTCTCAATTGCCACTACTAGAAAAATGTCTTACAGTGACACCAAATTAGTGTCACTAAAAATTTCTGTGACACTAAAAAAGTGTCGCTGAAAGTGGGGGCTAGTGACACTACAAGTGACACTTTTAAGTGTCACTACAAGTGTCACATAATTGTGACACTATGATATCACAATATAGTGACACATTGGCGACATAGCTATTCGGCGACATGCATGCATTTTAAACTTAAATTTGATATAAATCACCTACACATCATGAAGAACACTCTCACAAAATTTCATCAAAAAAATCCACATTGAAGCACCTAAAACATAGACGGTCAGACGATGAATCCTGTCAGATAATTTAAATAGGATCATTCCTCATGAAATAATTACATCATCATCATCATTATCATTATTCCAGTGCCGCAAAGGCTCCCACCATTGGTGGGGGTAAGGGTGGATACGATGCACGTAGTCTTACCCCGATACAGAGAGATCATTTTCGGATGGCCCATAGTGAAAATCGCGTTGAAAATTTCATGAAATAATTATATATATATATATATATATATATATATATATATATATATATATATATATGACAACATAGTTTTGTCGGGCAGATATTATTTAGTTCTATCAAACATAATTTGATTAAAGTTTGACAAATAGAAGTGAATAAGTCTTATTTTGAGAATAAAACAATGATAATCTTATTTATGAACTATAATTTTCTTTTAGTCCTATTTTTTTGTATTGCTTTTTAGTTCCCCGTGTGACTAAGTCCTGACTCCGCCCCTGGGTTTGGTGCATTCAAGAGACTAAGTCCTAGCTCCATTTGAACCCCAACTTCTATTAAAAAATGTCACGCCTTATCATATGAAAAAATGTGACTCTTCAACTTGTATGATACCGATTATTATATAGCAATTTTACTGGTTTATTTTTTTAATAAGATTAAAGTGCTTTTCATTCTTTTTAAATTAGTATTTATATTTTCTTTTTAATTAACATTTCTACTGGTGAGCCTGAGGATGGACTAAATCGGGCCGGGCCGGCCCAAAACCGGCCCGGTCCGCTACTGTGCGGGCCCAGACCGAACCGGGACCGGTTGACCGATTCCGGGCTTTTAGCCCGTTTGGGCAGGTCAGCCGGGCCAAGCTCGGGCCCAACTTTTGTTGAACCGGCCCGGGCGGTTCGGGCCGGGCCCGGTTCAATTTTTTTTTGTTTTTTCAATTTTTTTTCTTTTCCTACGGTAGGGCTGAGTGTTTTGGGGAGCTTTGGGGGTGAGGGGGGGGGGGGGGTCGGGGGATAACAAGAAAGGCAAAAAAAAAAATTAAACATGGAACCGGCCCCGGCCCGGCCCGATTAGGCCTGGACCCGGTATCAACCCGGGCCGGTTCCGGGCCCAAGTAATTGGAAAAAAGCCCGCCCGGGCCTGGCCCGGAACCGGACCGGCCCGGGTCCATCACTAGGTGAGCCTTTTTGTTAATGTTGTATGATCAATATACAACCAAATGACAAATCTTCTATAGTATTCACCTATTTATTATAGATAACATACTTCATAAAGGAACTTAACCCAAATGCCCTTTCGATAGCACTAAAATTGGCTAAATTTAAATCTCTATTGAAATTTATGAAATTATAACTAAACCGGTTGAATTGGCTACATTATGAAAAAGTTAGACTTTCTCCGTGCCATAAAACTTTGTCAAATTGCTTACATGATCGTCCCATAAAATAATTGCCAATTTTTTCATTTTAAAGTAAGAAATAAGTGGTTAGAATAAATTTTCCCTCCTTTGCGCAAAATCTCAACTGCACAATTTTTACTTCAATATTTTACGTAGAAGTAAAAGTTGGCCAAGTTTGGTGAGGCAGAGGGAATATCTAAAAATAGTTTATTAATAAAATACACAAAACATTATATGAAGAAAATAGCTAAGAATGTCCTTTAGGCAAATTCAGTTAGTCCAAAGTAATTTAAACCTAACTTATTTTTATTACACAACTCAATGTGTGGAATAAAAAAATAATCTCCCTAAAATAATTAGAGTAATTGGGAAGGCATATGTATAAACTTGTATAAGGTTAGCAGCTAATCGCCCTACTTCAATAACAACACCAATTATTACAAATATATATGGGAATGCTACAGTCAGAATCTCCAATCCAAAAAGTAGCTTTCCTTAATAAACAATGCCAGCCTTTTGGATTGACATTAAAATTTATTGCATAATTTACCAACAATAGCATGCTCAGATTCCATTACCATCCTTGAGCGTCCAATTCACACTCGCGACAATAGGGATGGCTCCTTTCCCCAACCCAACAACATAAAACAAATCCTTATATCCCAAATGAATAGATAAACATAACACCTCAAGTGAATAATTTAATTTCCATAACCTAAATGACAAAAAATAAACCATGTATTTTTCATCTTAAATTTTACAGTGAATGCCTTTGTTAATAGATGCAATGGTACCTAAGTGGCTAAAATGTCGCTAAGTTTAGCTTCAACACCTCGATCACCTCTCCAAAGAGAGTATTCCAAGCAATCACCAGTATTACTCTCATGAAGCCCCTTTGGCAACATCAAATCAATGCATATGGTCCTACATTGGCAGATTGCATCCGCATATTAGTTGTTAATTGAATATCCCTAAAAGAAGTATATTTTGATTCTGAGACCATTACAATGCATCAAATAGGTTTAGACCTTACTGAGAGAGATTCTGATGGTTTCTTCATATGGAAACTCTCAAAAGATGGTACATTCTCCCTATCAAGTGCCAACAATGAAATCAAATATCATAGTTCAACAACATTTTCAAATAAAGACATCTTGCACCCTAAACTCCTAATGTCAATTAAGATATTTCTCCGGAAGCTGTATCGTAATATTCTACCACACCAAGGCGACTTAAACAGATTCATGATCCATGTTCTACTGTCCAGACACTCATTCCATCTTTTTGCATCTTCATAGTCAAATCACATTTTCTATTTTTTTTTCCTGTTTTAAAACCAACCTCGGATTACTTTATGGGTACTCTGCCAATTCCAATACCGCAGTGAAATCATGGGTGAGGTGGTGCAGCAGAGACATTAGTTTCAACCGGTGAGGGGAAGGAACTGATGCAGAAACTTTGAACTGGTAAACTGGGAAGCGGGAGGTGAATCGTACGGGAGATGAAATTACATATTTAGGGCAGGATGAATGAGCA